CTGCTTCTGCTTGGCTAGAAGACATAACTCACTTCCTAAAGCTAGAAGAGATTAAATGTTGGCTGAGGGGTCTGTGAAAAGCTCTACTCCAGATGGGAACCTTTCTTGTCATACTGTGACGTGTCATATGTGTGCCTGTGTTGGGGTTGGGCAGTGACAGTGTACATTTTTATTTGTGAAATGTTGTGTTGTGAACACATCAGCTGTAGAGGTGCGCCGATCTGATATTTGGAATTTGCAATCTTTTTTTAAAAACAATGATTTGAGAGGTGGACGTATGCTTAGTGGAAAATCACACTAAACAAAGTGCACGCGATATTGGTATCAGAACTGGTATCAGTACATCCCTAATCAACTGCCAAGGTCCATTTGGGTCGGGCTAGGGGAGTCTTGTTATAAATGCTAAAATGATAGACAATGTAATGCATTACTTAACATGTATTGTATCATACCTTCATTTTAAAAATAAAAACAAAACTTCTTTAATAGATTACGGGACAAATTTTAGTTGTGATCAATACAATAAAAGTTTTAATGGGCTACTTCAGGGGGTTAAATGTAATAAATAATATATTAAGAAATGTCTAGTGTAAGTTAATTTACAATAAAATGTGAAGCATAAAAATATAAATTAACATACGTAAATGACATCAGTTTGGCTGTTGTTGATGTTTGGTCTATTTATGTAAATTGAAATAAGTGTAAGCAAAGGTGGAAAGTACAAATCCAGATCAGGTTTTGTTTCTCTGTACTCTTACTGTGACTCTTTATGCTCAACTGGTTGATTGAAGCAAAATCTTGGTCTGGATTTGTACTGTACTTTCAGAACCTGAACTTTCTACTTCTGAATGTAAGCAAGCAAAGTACATTTTTGTGAGCTAATCTGATACTAAATGATCATTCATTACAGTTTTATTTTTGCAGGTACAATTATAGAAAAAAATAATCCACATATTGAAGTAATATAACCTACAGTGGGCTGGTACTGACTCTGTATGAATATGTGTATAAATGGTGTAAGAGAGAGTGAGAGTTAATCAGCTTGGTAATTTTCATACTGACCCTGCAGGTGTGTCCTCAGTGAACACGGTGTCTGTACAGAGAGGAGGATCTGTCACTATCCCATGTTTCTATGACAACGTATATCAACAACATGTGAAATACTGGTGCAGAGGGAGTGACTGGAGTTCATGTACTCCCGAAGTACGCACTGACTATCCACAGATAAGTGGTGAAGTGTCAGTCAAAGATGATCCTAACCAGCAAGTTTTCACTGTGACCATCAATAATGTAAAAACTGTGGATTCTGGTGATTACTGGTGTGGTGTGGAGATCAGCAGAGGTTCAGCTGTAGG